GGGGTCCTGCTTATGCGTGTGCGCTGAAGCACCTCATGCCACCAGCCCCCGAAAGATCACTGCTGCTAGACAGATTGCAAGGGAGCAGATCGCACCAAGGGAGGCAAAGAAGAAGGTTGTCGCACAGATAAGCAAGGGGAAGCGCCGTGAGGCAGAGAGCATCATGTACTCCGATTGGCATGCCCAACAGAGCTAGGCGTTAATGAGGACATTGGGGACGAGCGTTAGGCACAGCGTAAGCGAGCAAAGGAGCGTGAGCAGTGCGAATGGGTCCAGACTGCGAGGCGTCATGGCTCCGCGGTGACAAAACCCCTTCCTCCGACTCCATGAAGTCTTGGTCCGGATCAATGTGGAAGTCCAGCCCGAAGCAGCAACGCAATTCTGCCTCCTGTTGAAAAAGTCTGGAAAATCCTGTGATTCCTCCGAAAAAGTGGCCCGTGAAATCAGGTCTCCAAGAGCCTCGTGCTGAAGCTAGAAGCAACAGTGCTCACAAGTACCACCCTTAGCCGAGTCCTTCCACTTTTGTATTGTAGACGCGCCCGGTCACAGCCGTGCTGATCCATAACAAGAGCGCGGAGGTTCGGAAATGAAAGGGAAGCTTTCCCGCTCATCCTGTAGTCCCTTGTCAAGTGCCCAAAAAAAGCGTGTTCACAACACAAGCCGGTCAGGGCTGGTGAACCCGAGGTGCGAGACGAGAGTCCTCCAAGTCAAATGGATAGTCCGGCTGCTGATGAAGCCATGTACGGCGTGGAACGAGCTGGCTCTGGACAGCATAAGGGCGCTAGCTCCGGTACCATCGCCGAGTAACATGACGGGCCTATTCTGGGTAATGAACAAGGAATGGTCGTTGAAGAAGGTGAGAAGAAGATCCAGGAGAGAAATAGAGCAGAATATAGAGAACCGACAAACACCGTACTGGGTGGATATCATCCGGATTTGGAGGGAAATAATGCCGAAAAAGACCAGCAGACCGAAATCTAGGGATGAGGTGCTAAGACAGCCTCTCTTTGGCAATGAATGGCTGAGATCCGAAAGTGACGAACCCTTGTTTTTAGACCACAAATGGCTGTCGTGGTTAAAGAACGGTGTCTGGACGATCAACCACTTATGGAACGAAGAAAAGAAGGAATGGGTATCAGAACAGGAGTTAAGTGTACGCCTGAAGGGATGCCACAGAAGAGGTCCGAACTTGCACTACATCACTAATCTGATCCCTCAAGAATGGAAAGACATACTTGAACAAGAAGGGGACTGGAGAAGTGGGGACTGGGGGGTCAAAGTACAGGAAAACCCTCCCTCTAGGGCTTTTCAGTTCTCACACTCACAACAAGGTGCAACTACACAAGCAGTGTTCACCTCCTTTCCGGTTGTACACTCCACAGAGGGAATGCCGTCGATCATAAACACCAACGTCGAAACTATAATCATGGACAGCTTTCTGCTCAGGAAAGTAAGAGTGTTAGGAACGTGGCCGAAAAGCATCTACAGATTCGACRCGGCGCWRCGAAAYTTGGAGTTTGACCCAGGGGAGTGGGCATGGAAACCTGACAAGAAGGCAAACATTAACAGGTTCACCCCCATACAGGACTACACGGTCAAATTGGGATACAAACTATTGTTAAAAACAAAAGACCCAGATCCGGTTATCAAAGCCAGGTGGCAGAGACTGTTAGGTCAGGAATCCGACAACATCACGCAAATCCCGTGGAAAATCTACAAAGCGATCAGACCAATCAAAATCAGAAGCCTCCAGTGGCTAATAACATATGCGGCTTTGCCAGTTAATCAATGGTTGCATGTTAGGCGGAAAGTTTCAGACCCAGACAACTCGGATCTATGTAAGGTATGCACGGAGAATGCAGCAGAAGACATAGTACACTGCCTAGTACATTGTAGGGAGGTGACGGACTACTGGGCAAGAGCCTCAACCCTCTGGAACTCCCTGTTCCCTTCACCTTTTCCTGAAAACCCATCCAAATTCTTCTTCTTATTAACATTCCCCATCAACCCCTGAAGGTGGAAAAAGTCTGGTATGGGCTGTTCAGGAAGGTGACCCTTTCGGTCATATGGAAGGAGAGATGCAGCAGAACGATCGAGAAAGTATCTAACTCATGCGATTTGGTCTGGGCGGAGACGAAGACAATGATTCAGGCAGAAATTCTCTGCAGATGGCGGAGGATTAAACAGTCATGGTCGGAAGATGAGGAACAACGCAAGAAGGCCAGACGGATTTTTAGTCAGGTATGGTTGGCAGACGGTAAAGTGGCTGATTTGAGGGACGACAACATCCGAAGGAAGGATTGGCACAACTCAAGTGCAGGAGGAAGAGAGAGGCAGCAGAGGACAATGCAGGGACAAGGCTCCCCTGTTTCAGAATTTTAAAGAGGAAGCTCCTGACATTTCATTTGGCCCAGTCTCCTGGCTTATGGTATCTGAGGCGATCCGTTTGTTGACGTCCTTGAGATGCCAGGCCTAGCTGATCTCAGTGCGTTCGTGGATTTTGAGGCCCTCCGGCAGGCTGTCGAATCATCTGGCGCAAACGCAGTAGCATTTGGGCCAATCACCCAAGCAGAGCTGTTGGGTAAGCTTGGAATCGCCAGCAGATTGGAGGCATTACTTCAGCAAGCCACAGAGAAGCAAGCTCTTGCTCTTCAAGAGGGATATCGGAGGCTAGTTGGGGGATCAGCAAGCGATCCAAGCATGGCATCAGAGGCAAAAGGTTCCTTGCACAGATTTGGAATCAACCACTGCAGGCTCCTCAAACGAGGGTGGTCGTATAGGAGGAATGGTGTGCCAACTTCTGAGAGCGTTTCTCTTGTGTATTCCCCACTCAACTGTCCTGCCTGTGAATCGTGGTATCCCCTATCCCGTTAAGCCTGCCCCTTTCTTCTAAACGCTACTAAAACCCTTGACCCTAAACCCTCAACCTGTGGACCTTACTGTCCCTTTCTGGGCTGGAMGTTAGGAATCTGTTCTCTTTGAGTGATTTGGGAGCCTGTATTCCTTGCACCCTTACTTCCAACATCCCTTTGGTCAACTTTCCCTTCCTCGCTCCCCTTTTTCAGTGTTGTACAGTCGTCTYCAGTCTGTTYTTCCATAGAYGTGGTAGTATAAGYTCGTAGCTTTCTCTTTAGGAACCTGATCGGGAGGTGCCTTGCCCATGTATCGCATTATTGCAGCCGAACGCTTCTTCCTGAATTTGAGTTGTGCCAGTCCTTCCAGGAGATGCGATTGTCTCGTAACTCAGCAACTTTCCCGCTTATCAACCATACCTTGCTGAATCTCAGTCTCGCCATCTTTTGTTGTTCCTCATCCTCCGACCATGCTAGTTTGATTTTCCTCCATCCCGATGATAGCATCAAGATGGTGGGATCACCTTAACATAGACCCGTCAAGGTTGATGGGCGAGCTCTTTTGCAATCAGACTCGTTCTCGTTCACACTTTTCATGCATGTAAACAGTAGCGCAGCAAACTGGCGACATGCGCCCACTCAAAACTCAGAGATATGGCATCCAGATACGAGTTCACTTTCAATTAGGTATGGCGACTCAGCGCCCATACAACTCACTGTTCACATACACCGGATCACCCTGGATATCCCACATGCGTCACTCTGAACACTCGCACATACGCACACACACTTCACACTAAACTACAGCTATGGCAGCTATGGCTGCCTCTATCCTACCGCTATGCTACGCTCCTTCTCTCTCGCCCACTTCAGCTCCGGGCTCACTGCAGACCTCCTTGCACAAGTCGCTGTGGCAGCGCTTCCGCATGGCTCACGCAGGAATAAATGAAAGGCTGGGCGCTGCCTCTTGATTTATACTTCTGAAACTCGTTGGTCTGCCCTCTTCCATCGGCCCATGGTGCTCACAGTCCCTTGTGGTACTTGCTGGACCGGACTGGGACTGACTGGACCTTACCGCTGACTGAGTGGGGACTCACTGATAACCTACCACCGTCGTACTGCAATTGCACTGCAGTTTAGTCCACCACTTGACTCACCACTTGACTCACCACTTGCCCACTTGCCCACTTGCTGACCTTCTAGAAGCTACAGCTAGGACTTCTAGACTTCGCTAAGACTTCTATCCTACAGGTCTACAGATCGAACCCCTGCTACCTACGGACCTATGACAGCCTATCAACTGTTTACGAATACACAGGTCACAGGTTCAACTCTCGGGGTCTACACAGGTACTGTACACAGGTAGGGCAAGGTCTACGGATCGAACCCTGGGATCTGCGTCTGCTACTGCAAAGAGGTGAAAACCGTTTCACTTTCTAGGAGACACAGGATTATTTGGCAGAACTGATTTTCAGGTCTGAGAGGGAAGAGTGAGACACGGCAAGCTGACAGTCAATCCTCCTCCTAACAGTGGAGCAATCAATGCTGTTCAGGGGTCCTTCGGCCATATGGAAGGAAGCGTGCATTTCTGCTGCAATGTAATGTGTATTCTGACTTGCCGGTGGAATAGGAACCGGACTGACGCTCCCCAGAATATAAAAAAAAAAAAAAAAAAGAACTGTAGTACTTCACTCATCTGCCCTCAGTGGAGTTCGGACTAAGGTCTGTTCTTCAACAGTTGAGGGGTGTAACAACTGAGCTAGGCCAGTCTTTTTTTTTTTTTTGCCTTTCCTTTTTGCTTCAGTTTGCTTGTTTTCTTATTCACTCACCTCTTTTGCCAGAGTCTCTTTGTCCTTTTCAAGAGAATGCGTCTTGTCTCCGAATTCCCGCTCCCGTTCTTCCATCCACTTCCGGACTGCATCTCGTTGTCGCAACTGGACCTCCACTTTAACTCTCGCTCTGAGTCGCTCAATTTCTCTGTTTAGTTCCTCCACTTTGCGCTGCAACAGCTTGTTTTCCTTCTTTTCCTCCTCTAGTGCTTGCAGAGTTTGTTCGTACATCTGCCCATTGTGGGTACCAAGGTCGCGAAAAATCTGTCCAGAAGTGGCAACAAGCACCATGATCAGCGGTGTTCATAGACAAAGCAGGGAATGGAAAAGAAATAGGAGGAGGGGAAGGAGGCGGAGGAGGTGCAGGAGGTGCAGGACGGAAAAGAAGGAAAGAAACGGGAGGAATAGACAAAGTGGGCTAAACAGGAGGAGAAGGGGGATGGAGCAAGGAGGGGGATGAGGACCAGGGGGTTCAAGAGTAGAAAGGAGGAAGGCGAGGAAGGGGAGGAAGGGGAGGAATGGCAAGGGAGGCTAAACAGGAGGGGGAGGGGGAGAGGGAGGGGGAGGGGGAGGGGGAGGCGGACCAAGGGTAATAAGGGAAGGAAAGGGAGGAATAGCCAAAGGTGGACAAGCAGGAGTAGCACCGGAAAGTGGGATAGTGCATACGCACTCTCCCCCTCTCTTCTAAACTGTGGTCAGGTATATCCAGCACAGCCCTTAAACTGTACATCAGGTACATCCAGGGAAGTCCTACATTGAGAACGCCTTCAGTCGTCGTCTCCCAGCTGATTCTTTGACTGACAGTGTGGCCAGAGTGTTCAAACTGGGATCGGAAAACTCCGAAAGCAGTGCATGAGACACTGTGCAGTCTGTGCTTAGCTGGAGGTCACAGATTACCCAGCGTGCTTGCAGAGCCCTGCACGTACCCAGTCCAAGCACCCTGAAGAGACCTGGGCTTCAGGTCATTCTGAATGACTGGATGTGCCAAGTCAGGCATGCTAGACCCAGACACGGTGACTGGACATGTATTGTCTGGAAGACGTCTCTCCAGCGTGAACAGCCCAACCATCCTCTTCACAGACCACTCACACTCAAGTCTGCCAGCATCCCCTTCTGCATTTTATTTGCCTTTTTCCTTAATAAATCAAACAAGCGGAGTCTTTTTTCTCTACCATAAAAAAATTTGGAAGCTTCTCGATTATGCGAGTCATCCTTGCACAGGGGCCATGCTAATCTTCTGTAAGGACCTGCCAAAACACGGACCGAGAACACAGCTGATTTCTGAGTTTTGCTGTTGGAATGTACCTTGCTGAGATTCCCGCATTTTTGCTGAGTTTTCTAAGTCTGTGTGTGTGCGTGTTTGCTGGTCTGCGTGCCTGTCTGAGTCCTTAAAGCTTGAGTGTGTGTGTGTGTGACCCGCAAGGGCACTTGCTTGTATGGGCGGCCCCGTAGGGCCGGTACTTACCTGTGGCCGTGGCTCTGGGGAAAAACACCCAAGTGGCCGAAAGGGGTAGCTTAGGGCACACTCGAGTAGCGGTAGTGTAGGCTGTAGGTACTTGAGTAATAGGTAGGCCGGTACCACTCAAGTCGCGGTGGATGTGTCGGGAACCAGAGGCCGAGCAGAAGAAGACAAAAGTTAGTATTTTTAGAGGTTCAGTAGCGGTAGGCTAGGTCCAGGCAGGAAACAGCCCAAGTCGCCGGAGTCTAGGGCATGTACGGCTGATATCAGAGTCTGCAACGATGTTTGCCTCTTGAAGGGAGGAGGTACCAGTTTCTTGGATGCCGCGCGGCCTGGAAGTCACTCCCCAAGAGGCAGGTTGGCCGCTATATCTCCAGGAGGAGCAAAGAGCTCCTCCTCATTTTGCTGCATGCAAGTTTGGCGTCACGCTGCTGGAGTGCTGGTTGGAAGCAGCGGTGGTGTAGAGCAGCGCTGTGGGGAAGAGGAGCACCCAGCTCTCCACCTTGGCTATGGTGGAGGAGCTCGGGTAGGAGGAGGAAAAAGGGACTAGGAGAGGGAAGCACCAGGGGTACTTACCTGGCTATGGTGGACGCCATCTTCATCACATTGGTGGGGCGCTGCGTCTGGAAGGCCGCCGTTGGGGTAGAGCTGCATCAAGTAGCGTTGAGGCAGAGTCAGGCATGGCAGGCTGCTTTGCGTTGTCTTTTGCACATCAGGGAAAGGCCCCAGTAGTCCGCCATAGCCTCGGCCTGGATGAAGAAGAGAGAGGGGGCGGCCATGGCTAAGGTGGACCTCTTGTTGTGCTGGCAGTAGAAGAGGGATTGGGACATTGATTCTGGTTCAGCCATTCCTCGTTATTATTATTATTATTTATTGTTTGAAATTTGAATGAGAGAGGAGGAGATAAGGAGGAGGAGTTCGTTGGCGAAGAAGGGGGAATTATCATTGGTCTTTTGCTGGTGTACATCTTCTTCTTCTTCTTTCTTTCTTCTTCTTCATCTTCCTTCTTTCTTCTTCTTCTTCTTCTTCTTCTTCTTCTTCTTCTTCTTCTTTCCCTCTCTCTCCTCTCAAGTTCATTCATTTCTTTTGCAATTGGACGGCATTGTACTTTCTCCAAGTTTCTCGTGAATTTGCACTTCGAAATTGGCCAGGATCGTAACATCTGTATTGCTCAAATTTTCTTTCTTTCTTTCTTGCCCAGCATCTCACCCTGTTCTGGTCTCCAGGGGAGTGGTTCTGCTACCTTTTTCCCTTCATCGGCGTTCATATATCGAAGTAGCCGGCCTCGTTGAACATCTCTCATAAAAAAAGTTCTACACTGTAGAAAGCTAAAACTACATGAGGCGTATAATGCATTGCCAAAAAAACGCCTGTAATAATCAGGATTACCAAACAATACCAGCAAGAGATCCAAAACCTCACCAATAGCTGAGATTGCTAGGACTTGGATAATCTACCAAATGATTGTTGAATGTCGAAAATATAGGTTGTTAAGTATGTTCATTATAGCTGTCTTTGGGGCGACTTCAGTCTAGATACCGCGATAATGATCGTACGTGTATTCAGAGTGAGACTGTAGCGGAAGGACAGGATCAAAATTGTGCCTGTACGGCGAGGCAATGGTGTAGCTATCACCACTGTGGAAAGTTCATGTGAAACAATGGATCCTACAGTCATGAGCAGAAATGATCAAACTATATTGAACTAGATGTCTATGTCTGCAATGACTCTACATTGGAAAGTGAAAAGAAGTCAATGCAATGGAGAATTTCCCTCCAAATTGTAGAGGTGTGAGGAATGTGTCCTCATGGGGCCCTAGACAGCATGCACATGTTCTGGACTGTGGCCCCAGCAAGCCTCGTGCCCGCCCAAAGTGAAGGCGGCCCTGAATATCCATGAGAGGCCCTTATCTCAGCATTTTTCAATGTGGGTATTAGACAGTTGCTGCACGCCAGTTGGTTGAAGTGCAACCTGGGCCTCACCCTGCGCTCTTTCCAGAAGCAGCAGCTGCGTCAAGCAGTTGAGCCCAGGACGCAGGTGGTTGCACCGTGGGCAGACGCAGTGTGAGGCCGACACATCACGAAGTGGCCGCGGGCCAATGAGAATGCAGCATTGTCATCACACCTACCCCGCGGGCCAATGCAAACACGGCAAACACTTGAAGCCTGGAGGCATCCTGTAGGTGCCCAACCGAAGAGGGCCCAGGCCCTTAACTGTAGGAGTGGGCCTGGGTGCAGACACTGGGGCACGACCGGAAGCTACTGAAAACTTCCTCGGCCAGCCCCAGGCAGCCCAGCAGGGCAGCTGCTCCCATATAGCGAGGAGGCTGGCCAGAGGAAGGCATTCTGGCCTAGGCAGGCAATGCGGACACGCTGCTGTGACGCTGCGCAAGTGTCTGCATTAGCGCCGCTGGCCTGGGGTGCGTGCGGCGCTAAGAGGTGTGGGGTGCTGCAGGGCAGCGGGGCGCCAAGCGGCCATAGCCAGGCTGCAGGGCACGGGCAGGTGATGAAGCGATGGTGGTCTTCAGGGAAGGAGGTGCAGGTGTGGGTGGACAAGGTCTGATGAGGGGAGAAGAGAACGTATCTGGTGTGAGAGGTCGGCATTGGTGTTGACATCATGTACATTGGTCTTCGGCGGCGAAGTGAACCTGTTGCATGAATGTAGATACAGTAGATAGGCTGAGTGAGTAGGCTGGGCGCTGGGCGCCATACAGTAGGAGCAACATTGGATACTGCGTTGGTGTGGCCGGAGGGCTTGGACATTGGCTCACGAGTCCAGTGTATTGCTCTTATGTGGATGGAATCTTGGTGCATTTATGCTCTCTGCTCAGCACCATCTGGACTTCTGCATGATGTTGCAACTTGGTTTTCTATCTATCGCTCTCACTCATATTCCTTGCAATTTGGTATCAGAGCTGGTTCGAGATCACCCTTACCTGGTGCTGGCAACATTGTTACTTGGTGCGCTGACGATGCTTCTGTGCAGTAAGGATACATTGGCATTGGCTTGATTGCGCGACACCCGGGTAGACGGGTGCGTCGTTGGAAGGCTGTGGCGACAGCGTGGGGGCTGTAGCGACATCGGATGTATGTGTGATGATGAGAGCTTGCTGATGTGGCATTTTGGCTAAGGTGGCACTGCATTACGTTGTGGGTGGTACCGAGGCTATGACCGGTCATCGAAATGCACATCGGCTCAATTGGTGAGAAATCTGTGGTTGGGGGAAGCTATCTCCAGGTACGTTGTTCCCCGACCTTATCTTCCCTCTCAATCTCTTCTTACTGTGAAAAAGTGAGTCCAACCTTGAGTGTCCTCTTTTGAGCAAGGAGCCGTGAGCGCTCTATCTTGAGAGACGACATTCTTCCCGGTGGCGCATCTGGCAGGAGAGGGCGGTGCCTCTGAAGGGCCCTGGCCGAAGGACAGGTCACGGCCACCATGCCAACCCATGCGAGTAGTACACGCAGGCCATGTCCTTTGAAGCTCTTTGTTGCGCCAATAGAGGGAACGTGGACTGACCAGTCCTATTGAGACGCATACCAGACCATCTATAAACATTTGTGGCACGGATCGGATCTGTACACTGGCTGTGATCGTCGTCCTGTCTGCGACGTTAAACAATTCCTGAGGACCTTGGGGGCTGTCCTTAAAGTGCCTCTTGATCAGCCAGATCAGTCAGACGTAAGGCTCGTTGCACACGAGGATAAAGAAAGGGCAGTGCTGGTCATAAGCGAGTTCCTGGGCACATGGGTGGGCCGTTAATGCACACCTTAGACACCGCTGCTTGATGATGCAGACAGGTACGTTG